GTTATCATGATACCTTAGCTTGGGACTTCACATTTTGAGAATGTATCACTCTCAGTAACCAATAGCTAGCTTTTCTTGATGGTTGGGGTGGGGGTGGGGTGGCAAGGTTAGGAATTGAAGTGAGCAATCAGTTTCTGGGGTGCTGCAAGCCAACCTCCTCCTCCCCCCCCCCCCCCCAAAAAAAAAAAAAAAAAAAACTAATAAGAAATCAGCTATTCTACGAGTATTTTAAAGTTATGACCAGAGCTGAAAAGGTTTCATTTAGGGAAAAAATCTAGAGGGAGTGGCCCTTGGGAGGAAAGGGGGGTGCAGCAAGCTAGATCTTGAGGGGAGCATTCAAAATTCCCCCTCCCCTAAACGATGGCCCAAGTTCAGCATGCCATTTTAGATTCTGACAAGGAGTTATGTACGCTTTTGCATTCTATGAAGCAACTCATTCAATAACTTGCTAGTAAAATGGTATTTACATTTATACTTCTTTGTATTACTTTTGAAGACACACAAGCAACTTATTCATTATACTAGAACTGTCACTTCATAGATTATAGGACTGTTTGCCCTGACACATCTAACATACCAATTCATGGCATTGCCTCAAATTCAGCATCCAAATATACAGTACTACAAAATTCTAGACCTATCCCTTAACATAAACTTGAATATAATAGAAGCAGTAATAGAAGTGATAAGTAATAAGAAAGGCAACATTGTTACACAAGTATACCACCGCCGCCACCATCCGCATGCGTCGCGTTAAGGAAACTGACCTTGGGGCCCATGGTGACCGCCACGGCGTCGGTGAGGACGTCGACGCCCTGCAGCATCAGTGCCCTGACCTCTGTGCCAAATTTAACGTCCTTGGCATAATGTCTCGCCAGGAAGTGCCTTGTGGCCTGGCGAGCGACGGGAGTTCGCAATAAAGAGGCTGCGCGATGCATTCTGAAAGAGGAAGCAACAAAGGCTAGAGATTGCCCTTTAAATTCCCATGCATTACCAATCTGGAACTGGTTAAGGTCTTTAAAGGTCTTGCGTGGGTATTAAACAGGATAGCCCTCTGCCTCACGCAAAGCCGGCCTGAGGAGGGCAGGGGGGGGTATTCCGGCCCGGCAACAACACTCGGCTGAGGCCATGTGGGCTCCTCCTAAGCCGGCCATTGTGATTTTCAATCGCATTTATCGTTAAATGTACAAATTTACAACTAGCCAAAACCAGCTATAATGACCCAACCATTCACAATTTCCTTTCATTAAAGCTCGCTCGCCAAACTTACTTTGTAGGAAGGTTTCAGTGGAAGAGAGACACTTAACACGATCCCTCGGGCGGCCTCACGGCGTCTAGAATGAGCAGCAGACGACTCGCCCGAGCCTCCACGACGTCCTCTCGTGCTGAAGCTTCTCGACACACCTGTATCGAGCGTGATGAGGACGATGACGTAACTCTGCCTCGAAACCTTGTAATGCGGGGTTTTAGGGTAACGGTGGTCTTATCAAGTGTAATAGGAAAATATTTGTGGAGTAATTTAATGTTTATTTCTATGTTGTTATTAAATAGGTAAAATGTTAAGTGCGTTTCGTAATCGGAGTTATTCAACTGCCTTGGAATAAGCTCGGTTAAGGGCCCTGGATCATTCTAGAACTCAAGCAAAATTCCCCTACATTCGGATACACATCAAAAAATACTTTAAAATGACCAAAGGAGATCTAAAACCCCTGAAAGTATACATCATCTCAAGAAAAAATAAAACAAATAAAAGGAACACCATTTAAATACCCTGAACAGACCGGAAACAAAACAGAGGGAAGAGGTGCGCATGCGCTTACGTACAAATGCCATGTGCTCGGCTCCCGTCCGGCTGCAGACGACGCCGACGCCGGGACTAGACGCTTCTCTCACGGCTCCTCTGCTTTAATCTCCGGCTGCCTACTTGAGTTAAAATGGTACGTCCTTTTTCGCAGGTGGATTTGTTTGTGTGTTAAGCTACATGGGGCGTATTGATTAAAACGTTTGGGGTTTGCGTGAGTTTAGATTTAACGTGTAATTTCGGTGGTAATAAACATTAACGTTTTGGTCGGCGTGATGTCGCCTTCCTCGACGAGTTGGTCCAGCGGCCACTTTTGTCCTTGAGGCCCTTGGCCCTAATTAATGGTTGTTAAGCGGAATGTAGCATAGGGGCGTTTGGACTAAAACCGTGTTTTGTTGAGGTTTCATTTAATGGTGTGATTGCAAGTTCCAAGTTACGTAAGACATTGTTGGCCTTGGTGTTATATGGGGGGGGGGGGGGTTCAAATATCTTTAAATGTATAGGCAATGTGGCTAATGTGTTTAATGCATAGGCAAATACTGTCAGACTATCAGCATAATGTATATTCAAGCATGCCATTCGACTACGGTTAAGAAAAATGGGAAAATTGTATAAAGACTGGTGGTTACTACACTTGATTTTGTGTGCTTTAAAGGATTAAGGGTTGGTCAGAGGGCCCTTTCATCCAATAAAAGTGCATTTACTATTCACAGTTGTCATAATTGAAAATGTATAATGTAAAATTAAAACATCTATATGATAACTATAATGGTTCTTGGTAGGACATCAAGGCTTAGGGACTGTGCCTCCTTCAAATTGCAAATTAATTCCATATAGATAATGGTTGAAAAAATCATTGTTGAGTTATAAGAAAGCCCTTTTCTCATGTTTTAGGTAAATGTATAAATTTGTTTGCAATATACTTATGTTAATGTGTAGGTGCTGTTGCCAAGGCCATATAGAGCTTGTGCTCTTTGGCAGTTCATCATATATAAGTAAACAGTCCTAGCTCTACCTTACCAGACTGCAAGGTGTAAGTTTGTTCTTGTCAAGTGCAGAGACCACTATGATTTCCCGACATTGTGCCAGTTTGCTTAAGCTCAGAACTTAGCGCATCCATCAGAAATTTCTACATGTTTAAATGGGTTGGAGAGAATGTATTGTTTTATTTTTCTTTGTTATAGTTTAAATTGCACCTGAATTATTTTAGTAACAGAAAGATACCTGTAAATTTATAAAATTGATGCATATTACAGTACAAAGTTGTCAGAAAATTAATTTTATCCCATCAGCTGCTTATTCTGATCCATATTTTATTCTACCCCTCAGGCTGGTGCCTTGAAGAAGTTTGTTCCTCTGTTCGACCGTGTTCTGGTCCAGAAGGCTGAGGCTTTGACCCGTACTGCCAAGGGAATCTTGATCCCTGAGAAGTCTGTAGCCAAGGTCCTCACAGGGAAGGTGGTTGCTGTAGGAGAGGGAGCCAGAACTGAGGTAACCCTTACTTATTGTTATATCATTGTCATTATTATTACTGATTTGATTACTCTTTTGGTCTTTTTTTTTTTTTTTTTGTAAGAAATTGATATTGAAAGTTTGGTTTGCTTGCTGGTTTTCATATCTAAGTATGTACATGGACTAATACAGTAATTTAGGGTTGTATGCCCCATGTTCAAATTCATTGGCTTACTTTAATAGTGACTATTGTGTTCTATGAATTGTACCTTTAATATTTCTTAAAATATGATTTAGAATTTGATATGTATTAATGATTTGCTTAATTGATAAATATAAATTATTATGGCAGTTTTTTAGGCGTAGGGGTTATGTAGTAATTTACAATTTATAAGTTGTTGCAATAACTCCGTATTATTTGATAACAAAGCTATAACATACAGCTTGAAATCATTTTATGAATACATAGTTTGGCAGTTTGTTGAATAAAACAAATAAAATAATGGTATTAGTAACAGTATTTGTAATATCCCTAATCCTTATATATTATCTTGTATATGAATTATATTCATATTCTTCTATCAGGCTGGCACCACAATCCCCCCATGTGTTACTGTTGGTGATGAAGTGATGCTTCCTGAGTTTGGTGGCACGAAGGTTACCCTGGAGGAGAAGGACTATTACCTCTTCAGAGAATCTGAACTCTTGGCCAAGATGAAGAACGAGTAAGAGCAAACCCTGTAGAAGTGGAATCATTGGGTCAATTCGTAGGCTGATGCTTAAGGAAGCCAAGGGAAAACGAAATTCCAGCAGATCAGAGATTTGCCTTGTGTGTTAGTCTGCGGCTTGTTTCAGTTCACAATGTGGAAGATGTATGGTTTGAGTCTAACATGGACCAGTTTTCTATGTATGTATGTAATCATCACATATAATTCATATTGTCATTCATCATTTAGGGCATGAATGTTTTGTCCATCTAACATGTGTATATAGAAATGTAAAGAATTGTTTTACAAAATATAGATTGTTTTCAAAGCTGTTGTATGAATTTATACACCTTCATTCTGCAGACGATGCAATAGAGCATGGAAGAAAATGTTTTTAAAGAAAGTACCCAGTGCAATATGGTCTTTTGAGCTCTAATAAGACATATCTAAATGTAAGCTTATAATAATTAGGATGATTATTTGCTGTCTTAATTTTTACATAAAAGAAAGTTAATCATGGACATCCTCTTCTTCTTTTATGCAATAAGCCTTCCAAGTAGCAAATAAAAATATCTTGGTTTCACATAATTCCCAAATGAATTAGTTGAAGAAACCGTTTACAAAACACATAAGAAGTTATAGGATCAACTAAATACATATATTGTGAAATTTTATTGTCCATTCCAAAAAGCACATTACAATATTGAATTAACCAGGCCATGCAAAGATAGTAAAGCTAATGCTATGCAGTGACACAGGGAATAGAATTTGAACCCCTATCAAAGTTCTATTGAAAAAAATGCAATATCTTATAAGGGATTGCTTTTCAAGTACCTAGGCATTAAAATACATAAATTGCTACAGTTTCTGAGGAAGTTTCTTTCGTCAGAAATGTAGATGTCTTTGAGTGCATATACAAAAGAATTAGTGAGGGCACAACTTAATACAATTTACGGGCGATACTGAGACAGTTTTACCAGTACAATAATTGAAGTACCTTATGTGTGAATTGACTCTATTGATTATACTACTAGGAACTATTACAAGATTTGTGTAGGGTGTTTCCTAAGGGAACCAGTAAGAGTGAGGTTAGCCTGAGTTAGTGACTCCTTTGGCTGAGGTGCTTTGAGGACGACCCTTGTACCGGTCACCTTCTGCTCGAGGCTCACTGACAAGTTTTTCCTTCCAAGATCCACGTCCACCGTTCGGAGGTGTCGTTGCAAGGTATGAAGGGCATCCCTAGAAAGGAAAGCAGAGTGGAGTTGTAACTGGTTTGATATGAACAATACAAAGATGTGCCCCCTTCCCCCCATCCCTTGCTCGTTGTTGCCGTTGGGGGGGGGGGGGGGTTAGGGGGCGGAGGCTGAGGCCCAATGTAAGGGTCATCCCTGCATTGGATCTTCAGCCCTCACCGCAACTAATTTTGCAGGGTCTTTTTTTCTCCTCCTTTCCTTTTCCTTCCGTTCATCTTCTGTCCACTAATCCGAATCGTTAATTCTCTCTCCTCTCTATCTATCTCCTCTCTCTCTCTCTCCCCCCCTCTCTCTCTCCTCTCCTCTCTCTCTCATTCTCTCTCTCTCTCTCTCACTCACTCTCTCTCTCTCTCTCTCTCTCACTCACTCTCTCTCTCTCTCTCTCTCTCTCTCTCTCTCTCTCTCTCTCTCTCTCTCTCTCTCTCTCTCTACCATAATGCTGTGTAACCTTTGATATCTGGTGCATTTGTTTTTGACCACTGACCATTCTGGAAATCCACAAACATTGCCTTACTAAACCAAAAGGAATTTTACCTGGGGCCCCAAACCCTATCATATCGCTGTTCTGAATACGCCATTAATGACCATAGATGCTGACGCGACAAATAAAAATAATGGATTCAAAGATGTAGTCGAGCTTAAAGACTAATCACCCCCAATCTCGTTGTTGTCGTGGGGGAGGGGGGGGGGGCTTAGGAGACAGAATGAGGCCCAATCTAGGGGACAGCCCCTACGTTGGACCTCAGCCCTCGCCTTAGCTAATTTTGCAAGGCCCCTTTCCTTTTCCTTTTCTTCATTCCCTTCTGTCCCTTTATTCTAATCGTTAGCTCATTTTTGCCGCTTTCGCTACAACTCTTTATCATAATGCTACTTGACCTTTAATGTCTAACATATTTATTTGTTTTACCATTAACCATTCTGGGAATCCACAAACAATATTTTACCCCTATCCTATCACTATATTTTGAATACGCCGCTAATGACCTTAGATGTTGAGGAGGCAGAATTTTTTCAATAAATGATAATAAATTAAAAAACAATGGTAATGGTTTTAACCTATGCAAGGTTGTTTGTGCAGTAGTTAATATATAGTAATAAATGGTTGATAAACCCATGTGATAATCTGACAAAGCTACGGTAAAAATAAAGGAATGGTCGAAAGATAAATGAACTATCCATAGTTACGAGCAACCTACAGTGCTTTGGCCAGTTTTTCCCTCAGGAGCGTCCGGGTTTCTGTTATATGCTGGACCTCCGCCACCAGGCCGTCCTGAGGAGCGTCCCTCACCAAGTCGTACCGCACTCGGGCCGTCCTTCCCTCCAGCCTCGTCTGCGCCACCTTCAAGGGAAGCGAGGAAGCACGAAGCTGCTCTTCCAAGGCCGAAATCTGAGAACAAAGCAAAGTTGAGTCTACAGTACAGTGTTGCTTAATTGCTGGTGAGAGGAGAATACTGGGCTTTGATACAAGTTGACCGAGGACGGTGAGGCGCAGCCAGGATTATTGTTAACCAAGGTTTCTTTCCTGAATTCCCCATTATCATATCCCGACTGCGAAATTGGAGAAAATGTTAATGAATAACACCATTTATATATTTACACATACATTTACATACAGGGAAACCTCGTTCTATTTTTTTTACATTCAATCATTAAAAATAGAAGTACCAGAAAAATGTATAAGCCAATTTTTGAGAGTCTATTTATGAATACGAAGTAAAGTAGAGTGAGATAAACTACAAAGTATCACACAGCCCTTTACAACGAGGCTTCACGGTATAAGCGTTCCCCGAAGGAACGCTCCTACTCCACCTCCTCCTCCTGAGCCCGAATTTCCTCCAGGAGCCGATCCTTTTGCCACTGCAGCTCATCCCTTGCTCGACTCTCCTGGTGAAGCCTGCGTCGAAGTGCATAATCCGAAGCCGTCTGTTGCGTCTCATCGTTCCGTCGCGCCGTCTGAGGATCACCGACGGATAAGCTTCGACTTGGCCAAAATGTCACGGATTATAATGTGTTAGAATTAGCGTCGATTTTTTTTTATTTATTAAGCTTAAGCGTACTGAATTATTGCAGATTAGCAATGCCATGTCTCGGCAGGTAGCTTAGTGCCATTTCCTCATGCATTTAACTTATATTGGGATCACAAGCATGGTGAATGTGCATAGACCTGTTTCCGAAGAGTCGATGAATCAATAAAAATGAGTGGATAGCTCCTCTCTCATTCAATTACTCACTCACACACTCACTCACTTACTTACTTACTTACTCACTCACTCATTCACTCACTCACTCACTCACTCACTCACTCACTCTCTCTCTC